GTTCCACGAGATCTGCGACTTGCGTTTAATGTAGAACGGCCTTTGAGTTCCACTTTTGTGGAAATACGGCTAAAACCAGCGGCTGAAACCGTCGTAAAAAATTACAATAGGATGGCCGCTCTCAGATTTCTCTCTGGTAGATATGAATCCAAGGTCCACTGAGCCATTTTTGCACCAACAAGTTCTAACGTAACCGTCGTCACGGAAGTATCGTTTCTCGGTCTTCTTCTCAGTCGACAACATAATTTTTTGATTTTAAGCAAAGCAAAGCATAGCGTATGTTTTGCTATAATAGTCTTTGTATCTACATTCTGACGTAGACTGGCGCTTTTGCCATAGTATTCTTTATATTCTAGAATGGCGTATGGACTATCTTAACTCTGTCCGCTGAGCCACTTTTGCACCAAACCAGATATGAATCCACAAGTCGAGGTGAAGCAAAGGTAATATCATTTACGTGACGTCACATATGGGCATTTCAGCAATCGGCTAAACGCGGCCTCGTAGATGATATTATCTTATTTTCAAGGCAGTTATCTGAAGCCGTCTATAAACGCGCCTTTGCTTTGCCCACATGTGACGTCATGTAGATGATATTAAGCCCCTTGCACAATGGAAGGAATAGCGATAGCGATAGAAATAACACAGTTTTTAACACAGAATTTCAACTCGTCGGAAATTTTATCGCTATTGCTTATTCCGATTTTCTGATCTGCATTGATACATGTGTAGTTTTGTATGTTAGATTCCGCTGTTCCTACCTTTATTTTTAAATATAAACTCTTTAAAGCTTTTGGTATTTCTATCGCTATCGCTATTCCGTCCATTGTGCAAGGGGCTTTATCTTTGCTTTAAGATAGTTGTCTGAAGCCGTGTCTATAAGTATATATAGTCTAAGGTATGAAACATATTCTGTATTGTGGGATTCGATTGAGAGCGCTTAAGCAATTGAGACGTGGGACTGAGTTATCCTCACCTTTACCTATCTCTTCTGCTTATGCGAGCTTTATTATTTATATTGCATACGTGCTTGTTTCGTTGCAAGTGAGTATCTTTTATTCTTTAATATCTTTGATTAGAGTGTTGATATTTGCACTGCGGTTGGCTTGTTGCGCTTGGTGCCGGGGGTAACCTCAACGGGCGCTTCCCGCCAAAACTTTTCCCTTTGCTTGGAATTTTAGTTTGCTTTCTTTCGGTTTCCATCGATTAGTTAACCATGGAAACTGAATTAAAAGACACCGTTCCTTCTCAGGAACCAGCTTTAGTCGCAGGTAACCTTCCTTTATGTCCTGATAGTCAGACTCTCGGACAAGTAGATGCCCGAGCGTCTCAATCTTTGCATGGGGTTGCCAAAGGGGGTGCAAGTGCACGTCTGGCGAAAAAAAGACACTCTGTGGAGTCCCCTTCTCTTTCCAAGAGGGTCTACTTTCCTCTGTCAAAGTCCCAGCGAGCCCTGACCCTCAATAGGTATGAACCTGAGTCGTCGGGTCCCTTCCTCGTGCATGTCGAAGTGATTGAGAGTACCCCTGCCACTTTTGATCGCGAGGAGGCTAGTAGTCGTAGCGTGATTAGTGTCTTGGGTCTGAGTAAGCGGTTAAACAGGCTCATGTGTGAGCCGTTTCAGCATGCCTATGATCTTAAAACTGTAGGGAAAAATAG